CTTGATCATTTTGATGGGCTGATGTTATTGGCTCAATTTTCATGAAGACCTTAAGGGAGACAGAGATCAAACTGTGACCCTTTGGCAGTAGCTTGGAAAGCCTTCATTCTTCCACGTCTCAGAAGCCCTTCCTGAAAAGACCCGAAGCATTAGGTAGCTGCAAGATCCTATACCTACAAATCATCTACTGCAATGTCAAAATGGATAGCAATTATTTCACTCGGTGTTCATTTGCAGGAGAAGGCATAATGAGGGAATTCCTGTCACTGTGAAGAAAGTCACACACCCAACAGGAAACAGGAGTTCTGTACAACCAGTCCTGAAACAGAATTCAGTGTGATTGTACAGGTACATCAACAAACTGCTTCAACATGTGGTTTGATATTACCTTCAGCTAGATCAACAGCAGGTACGTTCTTTAATTTTCCTGTCGCCACCCATGTCCACTATCTTACATCACCATTACTTGTGAACTACCACGTGTTCTTAACTGCTTTCTTGGCAAAATAAGAGATCATGCATAAATTCTATAAAAAAGGAATTCCTTTATTTTTTAAAAAAAGGACCATTTTTCCATTACCAAGTAAAAACTTTACAAAGTAAAGTATTTCTCTTCCAATCATATTTTAATATAAAAACTTAAATCCCTTACTCTGGTCTCAGTGTTTTAACAGGAAGTCTTGTGGCACTGCAGGACCCAGGTATTTTCAGCCTCTCTCTAATATTTAATTGTAAGTTCATCACTTGTTTAAATAAAACCATTTCTGTGGCCACTTACCATCAGCAAAATATCCTTACCACCAAATCAAAAATAAAGCATCTTGACTATCCCAAGAGACTAAACTCTAACAGCATTATTACAATGAGAAGCTTTGTTAAAAAAAAATTTATTTTGAAAGTTAGACACAACTTTAAAATTGTACAAAGACAACGAGCACTCAAAGTACACAAAGTTAGCAGTGAGTACAATGTGAACACAACAACAGTGAGTCTTGCCTCTCTTCATATGTAAATATAAATAGAGATTATCCTTGCCAAACTCCCAGCTCTTTTTTTTTTTTCTTCTCTCTTCCTGAAAACCAGCTTATTATGCTGCAAAACTTAGCAGGGAGCATTTCACTGTTCAGTTCAACAGCATTGCTAAAAGGGGCTCTGGCTAAAAATAGTCCTTCTATCATGAGAATATCTCATACTTTGCAGAACCAAGTTTCTCTCTCAATTGAAAAACAGCTTTCCCTTTCATTACAGTGAGTGCTTCACCTCCTCTAGAGACCTGCCAAATTACAGGTTCCCAAATACTTAAAAATATTAGAACTTGCTCATGGTTTTTTAAAGAACATGCAAGCTGACACTAACATGGTACATACATGTAAGCAGTCACAAAACAGAGAATGTTCCTGTTTGTATTTCACTTTTTGAAAATGTTGTTCCAAGAAAAGCACTTTGGAGTAATTTTAGCTGTGAGTTGGCTAAACTAATATAAGTATATGGTCAGAGAAGAAAATATTTATTTTTTTCCTTTTTTTTTTTATATTACATTTAGAGCTTCAAATATATTAATAAAACCACCTGGTAAAAAGTATCCCTTATAGCTTGTCCCTACGTATGTGTGTAAAATGAAAAGCAGATGTTGTTACCATCCTCCCTTTACTTCTGAGAGTACTCTTTACAGGAAATACATGGAAAAATAATGCTGTGTTCTTGCAGAAAAAAGGAAAACTCCACAGAGACTGTTAAACAACTTAACCACAGTCTCTGTTCTAGGAACTGGTTATTACTTTGGTTTAGATATACCGGAAAACTTCTGCTGTAAATCTTCCCAAAGTTCAATAGCAATTAAACCAAGGTTATGCTTTCTCCAGTTATAGCTGCACTGGCAAAATCATGCTCTGAACCTGAGTGTTTGCAGGACTCTGTTCCAAGACTGAGTGGAACCATTTTTACTTTTAAAGAAAATAAGTGTAACTGTCTTGTTGATGATCTGGGTTAAGTCCAGGAATAGAAACTTACTTATTCATTCTTCTGTCTAGATTACCTGGCAGTGCTTTATTTGTCATTGTTTTACTCCATTAAGAATCTTTGTAGCAATGGATCAATATCCTGATTTTCAAAAAGCTTTAAAAATGTTGTGGCATTTTTTTTATTAACAAAAATATCCCATTATTAAGACACCAGTGTCCTACAAACTGCTGTGCATTGGAATTAAATTGGTTCCAGTCAAAATCCTGATGACCAATTTTTGCTTCCAAATTGTTCTGAGTTGGTAGCCTGTGGCTACGTGGATAAGGTTCCTCACCAGGTTCATACACTCTGCAGTAGTTTTGCATAAAAAATAAATTGGTACTATAATAATTACTGAAAATACTTCCAGAATTGTATTAATTCTGTAAACTGAGGCTATGTACACAGACTGCTTTATAAGTAGAGTAAGCTTTTGGAATACTAAATGTTCTAATGCTTTGCCTTATTGAAAATGACTTTTTTTAACAAAGCTGTTGACGTTAACTTTTACATAAAACTTTATAAGTGAAAGTAACTTGATTTTTTTTTTTTTTTTCAGTTGTGCAAGGGCTTAACCAATATAACCATTAAGCTTTTCAAAATCTGTCAGTTTGCCAGTCAAGGGAAAACACACACAGCATTGAATCCTATATGAAATGCTTATGGGGTGCAGCCTGAGAAGTTCCATGTTGACAAGAACTGAGCTAACTTGCCCAAAATACCTTTTAATCATACCATCTTCTCTAGATGCTTTTGTTTAATGGAAGCCTGTTTTCTCAATACTCCATTGTTTTCTATTTGCTTCAATTCTAAGATAGCATTCATAAGGTTAAAAAAAATAATTAAAGCAAGGATGTTGTTTCACTGTAACGAAACAGCAACTGTAAAAGAACACTTTCAATTATTGCCAGGCCAGAAAAGGGCTATTGGCAGTGTACCTTTCACTTGGCTTAAGAAGGTTTATAAAACAGTTCTAGTCCTCAGGCAGTTCATGATCTTTAGCTAAACCCAAGCTTGTGCAATAGTAAATGATATTTTGGAAGATGTATTTTGGTATCTAGGATTAAAGAAAAAAATTACTACTGTTATTTCTGTCTGAAGTTCTAAACCAGCAACCAATATCAGTGACAGGATTGCTCTAACTCCGTGGAGTCCTGTCAGCTTTGACAGGGACCAAAGGTGCAGCAGGGTACTAAGTACCCCTGTACTGGTACACGTGGGTGGGTGGGCAGCCTCCTGCTTTTGAGTTTTGCTCATTTATTCAAATATGTCTCATAGCAGAAGGCTACCAGACATGGTTATAATGTAACACCAATGCATTTCTGGAGAAGCTAATTGCACAAAAAACAGTCGTTTATTAAGCAAGTCTCTCAGTCCTACAAAAGAGACTGCTCTAGAAATAGCTGGGGAAATAGCTACAGAAACAATTTAAGCAGGTTATTTTGTCTCTTTTTAGCAATTATTTACTATTGCTGTTAATATCTGGAATAAAAGAAATACCAAGAAACAGATACTGTGAACCACTACTTGAGGAATGGAAGCTGAACAGAACACTCACTGAGCAGAGGATTTCTGTGCTGCTAGAAGATGCTGGGCACCTCCTGAACCCAGAGAATCTCAAGGAAATCTAGAGTAGGCAGAAGCTGGTTGTATGCCAGCGCTTTGCACAATGCTCCCTCATTCCATTCAAAAACTTTATAGAGCGCTTACACCGAGTGGACTATTTGGCATAAAAATTTGGAACAGCTCAGTAATAGTTTACTAGATTTTTAGGAGAGGGTAACATTATTGAAATTCTTCAATTTACCATTTTACTTATTGCCAGTCCAAGAGATGTGGCCTTGGCACAGAGCAAGAAATACAGCCCAGGTCTGTAATTCCAGTATAGCTTCAAAGTATACACGCTCTCCTATTTGCACTTACAGGTATTGAAGAGCCTTTGCAGTAACTACTTTGAAAACTACTCGCTTTACCTCCTTTGATTAAAAGGCTGAGGACAAGGCCAGAGATGGAGAGGACCTTCAGGGAAAGATGGAGGATCCTCATCTCCTGTGCCCTGTAAAAAAGCTTTCTCAACTCCATAATTTAGTGCCTCCCCCACCCCCAATTTGGATTTAGCATCCTTAGTCCTGCTAGCAAGAAAAAGGCATTAATCCTCTCTACTAAGATCTTGGTCCAGTATAAGTTTCACTTGCCAGCAGCTGCACTGCAAACCACGCTCAGTCACTGGTTTGTCTACTCAACTTTCAAAGATTGATGTGGAAACTGAAGGGGACGTGTTAAACTGAGGCAATGAAAGAGTGATTTTAAAGCAGCAGGCGTGGCAAACCTGTAGAACTCCCAGCTCTATGACAACAGTGGAGTTCAGAGGTCAATATAGGAGACTGGCTATTTAAGCCAGATAATGAATACATCCACAGTTGCACCTAATAGGATAAGAGAGTGTTCTAGAAGAAAAATGTTTCCTGTTTTAGAATGTAAACCAAACTTTAGTAGGAAATTGCAACAATCCTCCCACAGCAAAGCATTGATATTTTAACTAACCGTTCTACAGCTTCGTTCACGTCAAACGTGCAGCACTTCTTGGTCACTCATGGACAGGATACTGGACAAAGCCATCCACTGACGTGATTAACAATCCCTATCGCATCATCTTCCTCGTGTATTTAGATGCATGGTTTAGGTGAGCGAGGTCCTCCATCCAAATGCCTTTTTCTTTGTGTCACTTACAGCTGGACTGAACATAGATAAAGTGTATGCCAGGTTATGTTCCCTACATTCATCTCGAGTTCTACATCAATGTAGCTCTGAAGTCTACAGCAGGGCTAGCAACAGTCTGTGGCATACCACAAAGTTCACAAATAAAGATTGTCATTTCTACAAGAATACAAAATAGCTTGTAAAACCAATAGGTAACACTGTATATATGCATGAATATAAAAATAAACCACACCATCAATATGTAAAACTTCACAACGATGAGGAAAATAGTTTTCTTCTCAACGGTCTTCAGTATTGATGAGTTGGTTCTCATTGTCATACCCGTCAGGCAGGTACGCTTTCCTGAGCTGGTCTGACTTGGGTATGGAACTGCCGTTCTTGACGTAGCGGGAGAGGAAGGCTCGCACAGACGGGTGATCGGCTTTCTCCAGTGGAATATTAGCTTCCAGGCACATTTTCACAAAGTCCTGGATGACGCTGCTTTTCTCTGTCTGGGCAGTACTGTTGCACTGGAGGGAGGCAGTCAGAGTCCTTTGCTTCTTTCTGACATTCTGTTCTTCAAACTCCGCCTTTCGCTTCGTGTGTGTTTTAGACTTGAGATGGTCGTTGATCGCAGACTTGCGGACGTGGTTCAGAACCACGTTGCAGGAAGTACAGAAGAGTTTTCCTCCATCTTCGTGCAGCTCGCTGCCAAACTCCGTCACGCGATCCTGAGGGGTTACGTACAAAGCCGTCTTCGAGCGGTTCCGTGATGGAGGAGACTTCACTCCAAACCGTTCCATTGCTGCCTTCAATAAACTTCACCTGAAAGCTGGGGGGAAAAAAAACCCACTGTTAAAGTGTGTTAATGATTTCAACCAAACAGTTCTGGATGCACTCTGTTCAGTATCTTGTATAGTGCTTATTGACATCTAAAAGGTAAATTACATGTAAGACGCATGTGTGGAACTACTATTGAAAGGTTCCTCATTGTGAAGTCCAAAGAACTTGGGATACCAAAGTTCCTCATGAGTCAGAATAAAAATCCTTTTTATTAGTTTCTACAACTACAAAGCTCAACAGAACCCTCAAAACTCAGCCTGTTTGTCACTGAAAGTCAAATAGAAAAGTTTTCTTGCTTTTGCTTGAAGATGGTTTTTATCTTTTACCCTTTAGTGTAAAGGGTGCTTCCTTCTTAACACTTCCAACATATTCAAGTTTCTTAGTCTTATTGAGTCAATATTTTTCTGTTTACTTCCTGAAAATGTATATTAGTTCTGTTAGCAAAAACTCAGTTGCCTAAATACCCAGCAAGTAGGCTGCTACTGTTGCTTACAAAAGCCAGTAAAAAAGGCCAACTAAACAAACAACCAACCAACCAAAACCCAAACCAAAAACCAAACCTGAGCTTTCTCAGCCCTCATTTGGGAACACCCCTCTCTTTTGCTCCAGCTCAAATCACAACTACTAGATTGAACCTTAACTCAGAGTCAAAAGCAAATCTTTTGTCATTGCAACTAGAGATGCTGAAACAGCCTAAAGTGAACAGAAACGTGCCTACACTTCAATTCAAAATAAGAACCTGCATTTTCAAAGACAACTTCTCTGGGGAAGGTAACTGATAACTAAGAGAGCTGGACGCTATTTACCATCACTCTAAATTACACTGTAGGCAATAACCTGCTCAAATATACCAAAATCAAATAGGACCTATTTCTTTTTGAGTTGTTGAGAAACAGAGTAGCCCAAGATAATTTAAGTCCTTTTCAAAGTAAAGTTGAAGTCAAGAAACAGGTATGTTCAAGTTTCAGGTTTTCTGAGAAAAATGACTGTTTATTACATTAACTACTCACTTCTTTATCAAAAAATAGGGCAACAGGTGTTTCTTAAAAATATCTATTTTGGCAAATACTTTGAGGAAACACAACGGGCTGCCTGGGCATTTACTTAATGGGTATGGACAACTCTGAATAATTTTGTATTGCCTGTGCTGACAAGGCAGACTGAGAGATGAGAATATCTCTAAGCGTATTATTCTCTGTGACTATTTGTTACACAGAGTTTGCTGTTGCAACATTTTAAAAGATTTGCCTTTAAAAGACTAGAATTTCCAAACTAACTGTAAGTTGAGCTTGTCCAGCTCAAAGCACTGAATGGAGTTTCTGCTATCCAGAAGGCCTTTTGCTTCCTTTGGAAATAGAGTAAAGGAACAGAGAATTCAGTCTTCAAAATTGTCTTTTTTTTCCTTAACCCACTGCCACGCTAAGAGGTGACAACTTTTGGGAAAAAGAAAAGGGAGATCAAGATCTTGCTATGAGCTACTTTCCTAGTTATTTTTTTGCACTACCTGCTACTTTCCAGAACTTTTAAATCTTGACTGACACCGCTCAACACCACAGCCTAAAATAAACAATCTTTTTTTCAGCATCGATGCAACTTTTAAAATTCTTTTTATTGCTTTATCCAATTTATCCCCGTGAGTTTCCTAAGTAAGTGTTTCCTGAAATCAAGTGGTAAAACAAGTTTTAACCTCGCATAAACCTGTTGCTCAGGCTTCTGAGATGTCAAAATAAATCTACCAAACTTGGCTTCTGCACTGACATCAAAACCCCGTAGGAACTCTGTGACAACTTCTGAAACACAACATTTTGGGTGGGATTTCTTTTTTTTCCTCTCAAGCTTTGGCACGGATGATTTTTACTGATGTCTGAAACAATTCTGGGTTCCCAAGGGCAGGGGAAGGTGTGTCTGCAGAGGCGAGGCAGCCAGGACAGACACCCCATCTCCCCTCTGTGACCCTTTCAAACCAAACACGCTTTTCCGGAGCGCGGGAGCGCTGGGGAGGGCGGATGAGCTCCCCTCGGCCAAGAAGTGTCACCGGAGATGGAACCGCTCCGTGTGCTCGGGGCCTTTGGCCCAGCCCGGGGAGGGCAACGACTCCGGGATGCCAACGCCAAACGGGTTTGGCTGTGACCGGACTCAGTCCCTGGGGTTTCCTCACCGGATTGACGGCGCCGG